ACTTACAATGAAGAAAAAAATATTCCAAATTATAAAATACCATTAAATAGAAATCAGAGTTATGGATTCCCAATCCGATATGCAAAAGAACCAAAAAAAAGAACTATCTGAAGGATCCCAAGGGGGGGCACCTCCCCCCTATGAAACTTTATCTTATGGATATGGATGAGGCCACAAAGTACGAATCATCTCGAAATGTTAGACATCCGGCAATGACATGGCCTTTCAGTATGATAGTCAGCAGAAGAAGTGGTACAGGTAAGACCAATTTACTAGCAAACCTTGTTCTTGGAGATAAATGTGAACATATATATAAAAGACAAAAAGGACGATCCAGATATATTAGATGCGATAATTTAATAGTTTGCGGTTACCATCCTGATAAGCCGAAATGAGCATTCGTTAGATATATGTATAGAATAATAGCAAGTAATCCCAAAGCACCTTATTACGAGAACATTAGATTCAGCTACATATTACCAGAACAAATTCCTAGTGTGAAATCATTTTCACCTGAGAGGAGCACCGTAATCATTTTTGAGGATGTATGTATTGCTTCTGAGTTTATCCAAAATCGAATTATACCATTTTTTATGCATGGGCGACATCGAAATATTTCTCTATGCTATGTTACTCAGAAGTATCATCATGTACCAATTATTATTCGTGAGAATATCTCCCTTCTAGTGATGTTTAACTCTGGTAGTTCACGTGAAGAGATTTCTAAAATTCTTCAGCAATATACTGATGATGTTAAAAATGCTTCAATAGTTATTAACAAATACCTTCGCAAGGGGGAATTTATTGTGTTTGATTTAAACAAGCCAGAAGATGATCTGCATGCAATTAGATTAAGATTCGATACTCCATTAGATCTGCGAAAAGAGATTCAGCTATGTCAAAAAAACAATGAAAAAGCTATCGTTAAATGATGCATGTATAATTGCTAAAGAACGTGATGGAATATGTCTTTCAACTGAATATAAAGATAACAAAACTCCATTAATGTGGCGCTGTTCTAAGAACCATGTATGGAGTGCCCCACTTTCTAGAATTAAAAATTTAGGACAATGGTGTCCGCAATGTGCAGGTAAAATAAAACTTACTCTTGAGGTTGTTAAACAAATTGCATTATTAAAAAGTGGTTAATGTTTTTCAGAAAAGTATATTAATAATCGATTGCCATTACTATGGAGTTGCATTAAAGGTTATTTGTGGTATGCATCTCTTAGCAATGTAAAAGATCATGGTAAATGGTGCCCATATTGTGCAGGAAATGCCTGTCTTACTCTTAAAGACGCCAAGCAAATTGCACTTAGCCGAAACGGTAAGTGTCTTTCAACTGCATATAGTAATTCCAAAACTCCGATGACATGAAAATGCTATCAAGGTCATATTTGGAATAGTTCGTTTAAACATATTAAAAATTCTGGTACATGGTGCCCATATTGCGCAGGTATTACAAAACTAACCCTTAAGGATGCAAAGCAAATTGCACTATCTAGGGGAGGGGAATGTCTTTCAACTGAGTATAAAAATATAGACGAACTGCTTATGTGGCGTTGCCAATTCAACCATCAATAGCAAAATATATTTTACTACATTAAAAATAGAGAGCAATGGTGTCCATTTTGCATTGGTTGTTATCAAACAATTGAGGATATGCGTAAACTTGCACTAAAAAAAAATGGAGATTGTCTTTCAGATCGATACTATAATTCACACACAAAGCTAGAATGGGTTTGTGAAAACAAACATTGATGGGAAGCTATTTCTAATAGTATTCAACAAGGAACTTGGTGTCCATTCTGTTCAAAATATAAGAGAGATAAGAGAGAAAAGCTATGTCATGAGATTTTAACAAAATACCTTGGCGCCCCTTCACTAATCCGCAGTCCCGAATTCTTAAAAACACAAGAATATCCAAATAGACTAGAACTAGATATATTTTATCCGCAA